GTATTAGCTGGTCCAATTTCGCAAGAAGTTACACCAGTGAAAAGCTTTGTGGATTCGGCTTAGCTCGAGTCAACCCCTTACGCACGCCTTGCTCGTAAAACCAGCCATTCTTTTTGTTGAACATATTAGCCCGGGTGCCAGTTAATTGTGAAGAGGACTAACATATAGAAGGCTTCGTGAGTTTAATTTTATAAGAATTATTCTTCCGGTCTTGAGTCGCGTTTTCTCTTTATAATGAGCGTAGTTGCAAAACGACTACACACTGCCTTCCATGGATCGTTCTTTGAAATGATGCAGACTCACACGACACAAGCACAGTTATTTCCCCATACAACGATGGATATGTCCAGCATGAAATTGTATCAGTATCTGTACATGGCAGAAAGCAAAAACTACATCAGATATATCATCCTTTGACAAATGAATTGTTTGCTCTTTTTATTTAGTAGTTTAGAGCAACAGGTTAAAGAAAGCTTAATATCATATGGTTTGTTCATATTGTAACTTCTTTGTGTCGAAAATCTGTGTTGACAAAGCTTTTCGATCGTACGTGCACTTTGCTCTTCACCAGCAGACATTTCTAGTAGTTTGTCTAGCTTATGGATTGGCTGAGATTTTATCTAATGAACACTTCTAGCATATAAGCAGCTTTTGAGTATACAGAGCCTCATTTCCGAAATATTTTAGGACATGTAGGAATATTCTTTTGCCATTGCATCATATACGCTGTCAAATACAAATGTACTTTGCCTGGTTTTACGGGGTATCTTAAACTGCAAGTTGTGTCGAAGTTAGCGCATTTTTGTGTTTTGCGTGCATAACATATGTTTATGAGCTGAGAGCGTGAGCTCTTAATGCGACAATGTGGAGTATAATATGCACTTAGGACTAACCTCTTTACCTTTCGGGCCAATAGTTATTTTGTGGAGGTAGGCCATCTGAACTTTTAGCTTGCTACTATAATTCCCTTTCACAGTAATTTGGCATTCCTCCCGGTGAGAATTCGGCCGGTATTCGTTCCCGCTTGTTGGAGGCTCGGATGCTAGAAGGCCATCCCTACGTCTGTACCGTTAGGAGAGGTCCAGAGAGCGTGGAGGCTGCCCGAGCCGTGGTGCGTGCTAAATGGCACATTCGCTGCCGCTCGCGTTAGTGACGTCACTGCACACTATATCGTTATAGAAATGCTGGCCTCAAAATCATACGTAGGCACACACTGTCACTGTTGCTCCTTTTGTCGTTTCATAAAGTGGTTTCTGCGCGTTGTAGTCCACACGTTCGGTTCGCACACCGTTTCCTTTGCGAGGCTGCCCTTCCTGGAAGATTTCCACGAAGCGCCCAACAAGCGTGGGCTAACATTGCGGTTTAGTTTAGCCTTCTTTCGTGTAGGAAGCAGCGAGAAACAAGACGAGGAAACGCTGCAGCAATTGTACGCGCGACGACCAGAATCACTTGCGTCACTGCAGCCATACTTTCGCAGATCTATTTCGCAGAAAGGGGGGGGGGGGCGCACGCGCTATGGAGAAAAGAGGAAGAGACTATCGACTACTTGTGCTGTACTGCGCCTCCCCAGAGAACTCTCCACGCGCCAACGGCGATGCCTTGACGCAGTGACCCAGCTCCTATTCCCCTGCGTTGCATCGCCCGGGCATGGCGTCCCACTGTGCGTTCGGCTAAAGAGCCTTATTCCCCATCCTCCGTGTCTCTCTCCATCTATTCTCTATTGCTCACTGTGGATCGCTCTACGCCCCTGTCTTTGCTCGACACATGCACCACGAAGGCATCAGATAACCCATATTCTGGAAGACATTCTACCTGTTCGCGAGCTTCTAACGCGAATTTCTTATTCTTCTTTTTTTAGGGGTGAAGCTCCTTATGGTACACGGCAGTCTATTCCTCCGGCATAGCTATAGCACAACATATCGAAAGACAGACAGACAGACAGACAGACAGACAGACAGACAGACAGACAGACAGACAGACAGACAGACAGACAGACAGACAGACAGACACACAGACAGACAGACAGACAGACAGACGGACAGACAGACGGACGGACGGACGGACGGATGGACGGATGGACGGACGGATGGACGGATGGACACTTCGCCTTAATCATCATCATTCACTCCGTGGATATGCTGTGATTTTTTCCGCTAGGACCTGGCAATAATTTGGCTCATTTTTAGATATTAAAAATCAGTACCACACGTTGTTTCATGCGCAAGACTCTGGAATAACCTTAAGTGGGCAATGCGTTTTTGATAATGCTTTTTTTAAAGGTATTGTTTAAATAACAAAAATATTTGTAACAGGCTTTAATAGCGTCAAGCTTACAGGTTTTAATGTGAATATATTACTGTGTTAAAACTAAAACCAACATGCTGCAATGCATGCTGGCTTGTCAGATATGGTGTCGTACTGATGAGCCAGAGGGCGATAGTTCGATTCCAGGTCGTGGCAGCCGCATTTTATCGAGGGTAAATGCAAATCCACCCTTTTACGTAGAAAAAGCCTAGAGTGGTCAAAACGAATTCGGAGCACTTCACTATGGCGTGCCTCATCGTACGCGCTTTTAACATGTGAATACAGGAATTGAGTAACTTCGCGAGTTAATTGAGTGAACTTGATAATTAAAGGGACACTGAACGAAAATATTAAGTATATCTTGATTGCTGAAATAGCGTACAAAAACCTTGTAGTGCAACTTTTGTGTCAAGGAAGCGATTATTTCGAAATAAAATCACTTTTTAGTGGTCCACATCGCGTTAGCGCACTTTAAATCCCCCGCCAAAAAGCGGTCCGTCTCACGTCGTTGCCGTGCGCAACAATGCCTGCCTTTACTGCGTGGCCACCGACACTAGTAGCAACAGGGCGAAAGTAGCGGGAGCCAGAGCAGCAGCCACGGCCATCGAACAATTTTCTACTAGCTTGGTTCAACTGAACCCCGCTAGATGGCACCTTTTAATCAGCCTAACTAGGGTGCCTCGATGCGCGCGGGGCATCGAGGCACTCTAAGCCTAACTAGACGAAAACTGAACTTTCGAACCACTTGCACCATACCCCATAATAACACTATAGGTGTTTTTTTTTTAAGTAAGACAGAAACTAACAAGGAGAAATTTATTACGTCGCTTAATGCACGGAAGGTTCTTTTTTCAATGCAGTTAGTTTGATTCCTAGGTACTCGGCTGCTGACCCGCAGGTCACTGGACCGAATCCCGGCTGCGGCGGCTGCATTTCCGATAGAGGCGGAAATGCTGTAGGCCCGTGTGCTCAGATTTGGGTGCGCGTTAAAGAATCCCAGGTGGTTGAAATATCCGGAGCCTTGCACTACGGCGTCTCTCATAATCATATCGTGGTTTCGGGAAGTTAAACGCCACATGCCAATCAGTTAGTTTGATTACTAATGAATAATTTTAGTAGGACACATCGGGATCATTCCGCAAATGTACCACGCGTGGCGCTCGTCGTGTGGTACATTTAGCTTTACTTCTCGGTAAGTAGGCTGATGATAATATTGCCGTTTTAGAAGTTGTCATACATTGAGCTTTCACTCTGATATCAATTGTTATTTGCATTTCGTTTCCCTTTAACATACTTTCTTAGCCCGTCATCGCGAACATTTAAAGCCACCAGCATCTCCCCCCCCCCCCCCCCCACACACACATACAAAACGCATTCATACCCCAAGATGCGTGGTATGTCCCATGCAAAAGCATAGGGGCTATTATACAGCAGCAGTACACCTCCCCGCTGTGGGACTGTATGGGTGCACTTAATTCTTTAAGCACAGTGACAGTTTGAGCAAAAGGTATCCGCAGTGTAGTTGTGAAAAAGGTATGCTTGCTTGCTAATGCGCTTGCGAAAAAAAAACGAACCAAAATAAGAAGCAAGTGCATAAGAAAATAGTCCATAGTCACACTAATGCTTAATTATCAGCTGGTTTTACTAATAGCGCAGAGTATGTGACTAGACATACTCTGCACTGTTAGTCCTTTCATTCATATTTTTGCGTTTTGTATTGCTCATGCAAATATCTCTACAATGGCAGGGGAGTCCCATCAACGTGAACGTCATCCATCCAAGTCATGTTGCAGATTTAAGACCTCATTGCGCTGTGTGAGTGATTTGCAGGTTTTTCTTGCTGAAGCGAAGTTAGTAAAAAAAAAAATGAGAGAGAGAGAGAGAGAGACTGACACGTAAAATGTACCCTGCCTTCTAGCTACTGTTTTCATAAAGCAATAAGCACGCCATATTCTTTACTATTACCGACAACCAAAACATAACAAAAACTCGGAAAGAAATAAAAAGAACATACGGGCGCTGTGTTGTCCATATTTAACGTTATCTTTCGCATTTTTTCTCAGCTAGGACTACACGTACTAATAGGACCGTGACCATGAACGCGCGGAGTCAATATCTTTCTGTGCTCCGCACTGTGAGGAGTCATTTAACCTAGGTGACAGACAATGCTAGCTGGAGTGGTTATAGATTGTGACAGGCATGCAGCGTACACGACGTCTCAAGAATATCTTTACTATTTATCTACTGCCCAACATGATATTTCTGTTGCCCTGCTTTTATGTCTGTAAACTCGTGTCATTGCGTAGTGTGAGAGTACCAAGTCACGTTAATACAATTATTACGGAAAGCGTTATCTCCGCCAAGAAGTTTTTTTTAAGGCTCGCACGTTTCTGAGCTCCACTTGAGCGCCATGTGTGCGCACCACTACGACAGCCGTAGCAAGGGCGTTCAGCTAACTAGGAAGATACCAATGCGGGTTTGTTGGTATGGTATAATACCTGATGATAGCGCAGGCCAAGAACTAGGACGAAAGAAAGGCACACTCGACACAACACAGCGCTGTGTTGTGTCGAGTTTGCCCTTTTTGTGCCCTTGTTCATAGCCTGCGCTGCCGTCAAGTTTAATAAAAAAAAGACACAGCGGCGTAGTCGACAGCCCGCGTGACGTCCTTGACGGGCGAGTACCACCCAACTTACCGATAAGGTAGGAGTAGCCATCGAGTCGAAGCACACACTTCTTGGTGGCCTCAGGCCGTCGGCTGTTACCGGTCATGAGAGGCACGCTGTTGGATTTCTGGAGGGCGTCTTTTCCCATGCGATTCTGGGCCAGCAGAGAGCTTTCCGGGGCGCCGTCTATCTGCATGGTAGGCCGGCCTAAGCGAGCGGGATCGTCCCCGCCCTGGCCAGCTGCCGCGGGGACATCACGGGCGCGCTCTTGTCCTGCGAGCCGGCCGCGCACGTGAGCACACGGGCTGTGCATCGACAGCGGCTCTGCTCCGTACGAGGTGCGCACAGGGCTGCTCACAGAGCCCACCACCAATGCCGCAATGCACACGCGACGTCGACCACGGGCCGCCTAAGTCGCGATGAATGCCATAAGGAGCGGGCTACTGGTAATCCGTGACGAAATCTTACGGCGCGTAAACAGGAAGAATAACACGAACAGATACGAGATGTTGTGTCAATCGTTAGTACCATGTCTGTTTATTCGATGTAGTCTATTTCGTTGAATGAGTCGTTGGCTGCAGCGATTTGCGGCGCCAAAGCCTGTCGCGTTCGGAACGTCAATATGGGCCATTCAAGAAGTGTGCAGACATCGAGAAAAACTTGTGTATACCTACACTTTTATTTTCTGAAGATAGAAAGGGAAGGAATATGAAGGGATGAAAAAAACACAAGCGTCCCGCACATGGCGACGACGGGCTGGTTGATGTGTATTCATAAAGACATTTTTGTACCTCATAAGGCAGCAAGTACCATGTTCTGTCTTCACTGCTGTGTTTCTTCTATGCGCTAAAAAGTTAATATGAACAGGGTCATCAGTAGGCTGGCTTTGGCTCATATTGTTTATTTATTGGTGATGGGGTAGGGGAGCCTCATGTTTCATTCTTATATTATGTACACATTAAAAGAACTATGTAAAATATCCGTCATATGATGCGAGACTGCTGCTTTGCCGTGAGCACGTGCATCCAACGCCCCTAATTGTCTTTCTTTTGAAGCAAATCATTCCATTCGGCATTAAAGCTGAACTTCGCTAAACAGACTCTTTTAAGCTGTAGTTTACGTGCCTTTGCGATGCTATGAAATGAAGGAGTCGTACGTCCCTTGTTCACAGCAAATGAAATGAGGGTGAACCACTTGTTTGCAGCAGATGAAGTGACGCGAGGTTCCCTCAGATCATTTTCTTCACGCAAACGGGAGAAATGTTTAATCTGCATACTTATGAAGTTAGCAAGGCCATAGAGGAAGAGTTCTATGACAGACTGGAACGCGAGAGAATACTTTCTGTTTCCTTTCGCATCGCATACCTGACGCAGCAAAACAACCATGGACCCGAGACCAGAAACTCAGAAATGCAATAACGCCAATCAGCGACTGTCCTTCCAGCAGTGTGCCTCTACCAGTGCACGCCGAATAGCTTCGACTCACTGCTCCACAACTCTGGCGCGTAATATAAGGAGCGTATATGGGTGCCCTATACTCCGTCACCTTTTTCTTATAGTGTTCCCAGACGACGACAGATATGCTGGCAGAAAGCTTTTTCTTGCTTGTCATCTGGACATCACGGCGAACAATAAGCTTTCATGGTGGTTAGGTGATCACTCGCTCACTCACACTCACTCACTAACTCGCTCATTTTGCCTCGACCTAATACTACACTGCTAACAGTACAAGCCCTGACATGCATTAAAGAGCGTGTTTGCCGCTGAAACCACCTCTCGCAATTTCTGGCCGAGGAGAAGCGGAGCGGACACTGGAGGAGCCGCATGGAGCGACGCGCGCCTCAGCCACCGCATGCAGAACGGCTCCGCTCTTCAGTGCAGCGGCGACGTGACCAGAGTCGGGGACGGACGTGACACCGGAGACCTGACATGTGATTTCGCTTAAATGGGACGCGTATGCGGATCGCCTGGCCACCGTCGGCGGTCGTTCAACTCTCGTGGGCGGTCCGGATCATGTGTACACGGAAAGCAAGGTACCCTCTTTCGCGGCGCCCACCTAAAAAAACGCGCTCGCAAAGCACACATGCGCTCAAAGGCACGTGCTAGATAGGTGCCACCGCATTTTACCTCGGACCAATTACGCTTATGAAGAGAGGCAGAGTGAGTTTGGGCGACGCTAAGCATGCGTACGCACACGCACACACACAAACTATGTTGAAGCACCGAGGTAGGTTGTATTCCCCAGTCGCTTATTTCGTGCCATGAAGCGAGAGGCGCTATCATTGAGCGCTCGCAGATTAAAGCCAAATACTGCGAAGTTAGACGCTGATGAAGATGAATGTTTTATCGGCAAGTTCACTTACAATTCTGTTGACGAACCTCCCAATGATGACGTGTCTCCATCAGGTTGAAATTCTTCGGCAGTCATGCGAGTCGCAGTGTTGGACGGAATGCGAGGCGATCATTACTAGTGCTTCTTGTGCAAGCTCGGCCTCTTTATGTGGAGGGCGAACGAAGCTAGGTTATTTAGACATTTACTGAAACTCTATGAGCTCTATACAGTGCTCTCCAGATTTAGATGAGAGCCCCGCCGCAGTGGTCTAGTGGCTAGGTACTCGGCTGCTGACCCACAGGTCGCGGGATTGAATCCCGGCTGCAGCGCTGCATTTTCGATGGAGGCGAAAATGCTGTAGGCCCGTTTGATCAGATTTGAGTGCACGTTACAGAACCCCAGGTGGTCGAAATTTCCGTAGCCCTCCACTACAGCATCTCTCATAATCATATGGTGATATTGGGGCGTTAAACCCCAAATATCAATCAATCAGATTTAGACGTGAACTCGTGCGCAAATGCAAAGGTGATTTATTTTCTTCAAAAGCTTAGCGAAAACAGTTGAGTCAACCTCGAGCGACATTAGCGATGAAGAAGCTGCGATGATACGTATTGCGCGACTCTTATGAACTAATACGCTGTTGACGTTACAGTCCTTGACAGGACTGCTACGCATAAATTGGCAGCATCGTGATGGACGTGTAGATTGATTGATATCCCCTGGACGTGCTATTCAAGCCTTACGGCACTTTTGTGCCACGAGCCTTCCTTTGAATCTTCGTGAACACGTGTGTGTGCGTGCACATTCAGATGCTCAACAGCGAGAGAGAAAAAAGATCGGTACAAGCTACGTAAACGTAATTGGTAGGTACATTTTTACAACTGGCTGTCTTGAGGCAAGAAAGTCTTTGTCACGATGTAGCTTTCCTTGCAACTTAAAAAAAAAAAGCACATTGACTAATGTAGAAAAAAAGAAGAAAGAAGGATTGAGACTGGAACGATTAAGGCACGAATGCAACCAAAAGGAAGAGAGCAACATGGCATTTGCAAAGAAAGCGAAAATAAAGAGCAAAAGCAGCTCAATGCAGTCGGAAGTCTCGTTTTCTTTCTTGCGCTCTTATCTAACAGACGCGCTGAGTGAAAAAGGCAAGCGAAGAGAATACCGCCGCATAATACACAGCACTACGCGTCTGTGCCTGTGCTCTTCCACATTGGTTATAGGGAACTCAATGACGACAAAGAGCAGTGGCATGCTCTCACCAACGCAAAGACGAAAGTCAGTTCCGACAAGGATGTTATTGTCCGAGCGTCGCTTCGCTCGATGTCTTCTTCGCTCAGCGAAACTGCCTGCACTCAACGGGAAACGCCGATAGAAGCCGAGCCCCGACGTTTTGGTCACACTGACAAGCAGTTCACAAGCAAGAGTATAGAACCCTCTGCGATGCCGACGCACACTGACTGCAAGCCCGCGGTTGCACGAAAATGTCAAGGCGCCCCCAGCGTCACGCGTCCTCTGCTTATGTGACACGACGCTTGTGATAAACCAAGCGTTGCACACAAGTTTATCGATACCAACGTGTATCAAATATAACACTAAAAGACGCCAACAGGCTAGACTTGAATTTGCTTGTTTTTAAATTTCTGTAGTTGCCCAAACCTGAAAAATAAAGAGGGAGAAGGAGAAACAAAAAATGACAAAAGCTCTGTTTACAGTTGTAGCCCCATCTCTCTTTTCCAATGGGTGGATCCGTCGAAGATGCTAGCAGTAACAAGATGTCAGTGAGATTGTTCTTATGCGCTGTAGTAACGCGGATAATGTCGGCTAGTATCGTGCGAGAATTCGTAAGGAGCCCTTGTTCTCTAGATGGTAAATTAACACAGCGCCACACTTCCAAGTACGTTATTTGCATAAGCTGTCAATAAAAGTTTTAGGAGCGCGCAAAGCGCAAGTGCTGTTTGGAATCCCGCGCCAAGGCTAACGATGTCGTCATCGTCCTGATGAAGTTCTAGGTTTTCTTTTTGTGCGTGTGTGAATTAATTCTATGTGCCCGTATTTTTACAAACTGCTCTTACGTAAGATCTTCTCTTCATCGGCCGGCGAGATGCGCCACGCATCATAGTGATCGGCACGATAACAACACAACGCTCGTAATGATCTCCTTTAATTTTATTTTTGCTTGTATCGAGAGCAGCAGCATAAGTTTACTAATAAACTGACCATTTTGTTTATACGTTTAGAGAGTTTTCATAAACATTCGCCGCAAGTACTGCCGTCCTATCTTTAGTTGAGTGACTTGCTGGGCTCGCACAACTTCTATCCAGGCTTAAAAAGATGCATTTAACTTGAAGGATATGAGGATAGCTGAACGCGGGAGACAGCCGACGCCTTTGATATCAGCAACGCAAACGAGGCCAAGGTCTTGAGAGTTTAGCTTCTCTTGCAGGAGCAAGATGCTCACCATAGTGAACAGTATTGGTGCTTATCGCAGGAGACACCCGCGCAGTTTGATAATCCGAAGCGCGCTTCTTCAGCAACGCTGTTTGCCTGTTTTCTTTCTTCAGAGTATCTGGTTTCTCGGGCACCGAAAGACGCCCGCCAGCCTTCTTTAATCCCATTTATGGACTCCCTTTAATGAAGCGCTGACATACTGAGTTAAGTTTCAGCAAGGACGTTTTTCTACGCATCTTTTTTGTTGCCTGTCGTTCTGCTGAAATAAGTACCATAGTTGGCGCAGCACCCGTGTTGTTTTCTCTCCGCTCATTTGTTGTTTTGTTGTCATTGAATTGCTTTTCCCTTTATGTTTAATTGCATCACACGCTTCGGTTATAAATCGTTAAAAGACAAATATATTTCGCTTTTCAGGGCACCCGTAACGTCACTACCCAAATGGTCTCACTCCAGGCCAATAGGGCACAAACCATGAGCCGCAAAGCCACGAGCGA